TCCTGGTGTCGGCTTTGGGCAGGGTCTGGGGCACCAGGTTGATGATGTTCTTGGCCACGGCTTTCCCCGTCTTGGCCGGCAGCACCACGGATTTCTGCTGCGCCACGCTGGCAGCGATCAGCATGGCGCTGCTGGCGTTCTGGATGGTGGAGACGGGCAGGACAGTGCCCTTGAGCTTGGTGCCGTTGCCGAGCTGGACGCTGACGATCTTTGGCCCCTCGATGGTTTTCAAGGGGCTGGAGAGCTCCATTTTCTCCTTGGGCACCTCCAGCACGATCCCTTCCTCTTTCTCTGCTGACGCCGAGAAGCCGGCAGCCTCGAGAGAAGCCTCCTGCGAGCTCTGCTCCGACGGCCCCTTGGTGGAGCCCGGCTCCGAATCCGACGAGACCCTGGTCACCGTCCGGGTGATGCTGCCACAAGACGTTTTGATGGTTTTAATCCGCACTTTCAGGGGCCGCGAGGAATTGGAAGAAGGGGAATCGTTGTTGTTGTCTTCTTCCTCCTCCTCTTCCTCGGCGCTGGACATACTCTGCGGACTTCCCATCGACTTCTCCAGCACTTCTTGCTCTTCCTTGAGGGTGATGTTGTCCAGCTGCTTTGGAGAAGGGGGGAGCCGGGGGCTCTGTACCACGGGCGAGGAAGGCTTGAAGAAGGGCTCGCGGGGGCTGGCGGGTGAGTGTTTCACTTCAGGAAGGTTGTTGGTGCTGCTGTCGAGGTTTGGGTCAGAACCGGGCCAGGCCACGATGGGAGAATCATCCGTGGAGTAGCGAACGGTGACAGATTTCAGGTGATCCAAGGGACTGTCAGCCAAGGCCGCAGCCAAACCCTTCGGGCTGGCTTCGCGGCCCACCTCCTCCGAGTCGGACTCCTCTTTCTTGATGCAGGGGATGGTAGGGGGGGACCCGCTGGCACCCCCAGCCTGGCTGGTCTCGAAGGGCTGTGGGAAAGCCGGCGGCAGGTTCTCCGTGCTCTCTCCCAGGGGCTCTTTGCAGTCCAGCGACGGGGTGGGAGACGGGGAGAGCGAGGGCACGGCGAGGGACTTCTCCTTCGGCTTACACTCCCGGGGTCTGTCGATCAGGTTGGCAGCGTTGTCTTCGTTGGGATCGGGGCTGAAGTGGGAGAAGATATCCAGGGGTTTGGGGCCTTTCTCCTTCACCCAGCACTCCCCGTTGGAGGATGCCACGGCTTCCACGGACCTGGCGGTGGGGGACCTGGGCATCTCGGTGGCCCCAAAGCCATTCTGCAGCAAGCGGGGCCCGATGACGTGCCCATCCTTGCTGCGCCCGTCCAGGGCATCGAGCTGCTCGGGGCAGACCGTGTTCTTCACGATCACGCTGACAGCGGTGATGTCCGTGTGGGGGAGGACGTGGTCTGGGGGTCCCGGCTCCCCGGGGACTGGCTTGATGTGAGCATCAGCTTCCTCGTGCCCGGAATGGATGGCCTCGTTCGTGTCGATGTCAGGAATATCGAAAGCTGCCAGCAGGTCATCGAAATCTGGAGTTTTCATGTCACCCATGGTGGGGAATATGGCAGAGTCTGCAACAGAGCAAGGAGAGGAGCGTTAGCACCGTGCCCCGGGAACGTGCTTCTCCTCAGCCCCAGACTACGCACAAAACCCCCGCGCGCCTTCCCTTTGAACCCGGCCTCCAGCCCCTCGGGCAAAGCACAACGCTGCTCCTCGGCCTTTTTCACTGGTCTGTTTGTGTCTCCGCTGGGGATTCCCAGCCAGGAGGGAGGACCCCAGCGCCCCGGGGA